CACAAACCAAGCAACCACTCAACCAATCAAACAACCAAAGAAACAACCAAACCAAAACAAACACCAACCACACAAACAACCAACTAAACAAGCAACCATACAAACACACTACCTAATTAACTAACCAACTAGCTAGCTGGCTAAATAACAAACTAACACAACAACCAACACACCAACCAACAAATCAACCAACAAACAACCAATCAACCAACCTAACCAAACACACCGACACACACCCAACCAAACAAACAAAACACAACCACACACACACACACAAACAATCGAACCAACCAACCAACCAACCAACCAACCAACCAACATACAAACACAACCACACACATAAACGAACAATCGAACCAACCAACCAACCAACCAACCAACCAACCAACCAACAAACATCCAAACATCCAAACAAACGAACAAACAAGCGGACAAACAAACAAACAAACAAACAAACAAACAAACAAACAAACAAACAAACAAACAAACAAACAAACAAACAAGCACACCCACACACACACACACACGCGCACAACCAACAAACAAACGATCACACAAACAAACAAATAAACAAGAAACAACAAACAAACAGACGGGGGAAAAAACCGTCAGACAGACAGACAGACAGACGGACGGACGGACGGACGGACGGACGGACGGACAGACAGACAGACAGACAGACAGAGAGACAGACAGACAGACAGACAGACAGAGAGACAGACAGACAGACAGACAGACAGACAGACAGACAGACAGACAGACAGACAGACAGACAGACAGACAGGCAGGCAGACAGACAGCCAGCCAGCCAGCCAGCCAGCCCAGCCAGGCAGGCAGGCAGGCAGGCAGGCAGGCAGGCAGGCAGGGGCAGGCAGACAAACACAGACAGACAACAAACCATACAACCGCTGGCATCTACTCCCAATTGATCTTGCGGTCGAGACTCTTAGCAGCTGCTGCTGGTCTTGAAATCCAACGTTGGCCGGCATCCCCTCCCAGGAGAAGAAGCCGAAAATCCCCAAGCCTGCGCTGAATGATTTGCATATACATGCGGTGCAATTGCATGTGTCGCCGTGTAGTAGACCCCTTTGCACAAGAGACTGGAGCCCTACGTTTAAGCTTTGGCTTCCGTTCAAGCTAACCAGGGGGGTCCAAGTCGCTAATTTTTGGGCTCCCTCCCTCCCTCCCTCCCTCCCTCCCTCCCTCCTTCCCAGGCCCCATAAACCTCAGGAACCATTGCACCTCACGCCAAGGCGCGGTAGTTGAAGGTCACGAGGATGGCCGGCGCGGTTGGATCCGCCACGAAGCGATCGCCCCAGAAGTTGGGGCAACCTCCGCTGCGCTTCATAAAGCCGCCTGGCTCTCAGCGAGAGGTCCATAGGCAGGGATGAAACAAATGGGTCTCTGACCCAAAGGACAGAAAATCCAACCTACAAATATTGGTTTTCTTCATGTTCAAGGGGCAAAATAGAGTGTTCTTTTTATGTTCTGTAAGGGGCAGACCGAAACACCATCCGTCAGATTTTTGCTTGGAGGGATCCCCTTCCGGTTCATTCCCACCCGGTCTGGCGGTCATTTCCGGGTAAGACTTGATTCGTTGGGACCTGAGGTGATGTCCCAAGGACCAGTCATCCAAGGGTGCAAGACCCGAGCCAAGTTCTTCCCCTGGCCTCCGTGAATAAACACAACGACTGGTAGTAGCTGTGGAAACGATGCCTGGCACGCTCTGCATCGATCCCCTTGGGCCCAGGGTTCCATTTCTTGATCACCCCCACGCAAGGGTACCCCTCTTGAAATTTAAAAAACAAAAAAACACCCCACTGACTGCAAGTCCCTTGGGGGTCTGGAGGGTCAAAATCCCGTACCCCCGGGTGAATTCACCTACACCAAAATGGGATCCCATTGGTTTTGACCCACAGCCATCTCAAAGTGGACCCCCATGCCCCCATGGAAAAGTCTCTTGGCCTTGGGCGTCCACACATTTGCGAAGAGGCAGTCTTCGCTCTCCTGACCAGCCCGACTTGAGACTCTGCTGGCGCCCCGTGAAGATCAAGCAAGTGCCATGGGCAGAAAGTGCCCATGGGGTTTCAGCACTTGGGTTTCTCAACAGACCTCACGTGGGCGGCTTCCGCACAGGATATTTGGGAGATTGGATTTCGTGGACAGTCCCCCAACTCCTGAACCTTTGGGCACCTCCCAAAATGGATGGCTGCTCTGTTGGTTTCCTTTAAAACTGACCAAAAAAGGGGTACCCCTCCCAACATGGATGTGTTTGCTTTAATTCTTCTTCCTTTTTTCCGTTGATTTCCTTTAAAACCGACCAAAACGGAAAAAAAAAAACGGCACCCCACCTGGGAAAGCGGAAGCGGAAGAAGCGGAAGCGGAAGCGCCACGCTCCTCGAAGGACTCCTCTCCCTCCAGGCGGCCGCCGTGGATGCAGGAGCTGCCGAAGCGGCTGCCTCGAGTCTTCCCCGTCCGGTTCCAGGTCCGTCCGTCTAGAAACGGACGAAGATGCGGCGAATCTGTGGTTCCCCTGAAGGTTAAAAGAGTACTAAAAGAGCACGAAAAAAGGACCAGGGGGAAGAACAGGCGGAAGAAGAGGCGAAATCCACAGGCGCATCCAAAACGGTTATAGAGTCCGGTTCCACAGATAAACATTTTTGCGTAGCCGCAGCTCTGAAATATTTTGAGCCATACCCATATGCTTGTGCCACATCGTTTCAGGTTCCATATTAGTGGACAGGAGGGTACCCTCATTGCTTCGTCAAAAGGGAAACCAACAGGAAAACCACCATTCTTTAGAAATCCCCGATTTTTGTTTGAAAGTTGGTACACTCCCATCCAACATGGAACCTACCACAGGCTCCATGTCAAAGGAGAATGGTCTTCAAGGACCCCGAAACGTCAGGTTCCACGTGCGCCACCATTTTGGAGGGGTCCGAATCCTAAAACAAGACGCGCCCAAATGGAGAACCAGACACCTAGAGGAGTGACCGCCCAAGGGATGCTGCGACATCAAGCATGGTCTGCAATCAGTTGGTATGATTCCAAAAAATGAGATTGAGAATGCTTGCATGTACCTCAAAGGACAACACATATTGCTAGTATCAGATGGCACGTAGACAGCCAAAAGTAGATAGCTAAACATATGGACCAAACCTGCAGCAACAAGTAGATAGCAACACACAAATTTAGCTTTCCAGATTGCTGGACAAATGGACAATTCTCAACTAGCTAGACAAAGAGAGATACACAGAGAGCAATACGCAGCAAGGTCGAGGTGAACCCACACGACAACGGTTTGTTTCTCTGTTTTTTTTTGGGCGGGGAGGGGTGGTCCACATCCTTACCATATTATATTTCTACCACTAATGCAAGAAATATCTGATATCTTCATCGGAAATAAGCTTATAAAAAAAAAAGCGAGCCCCCCCCCAAAAAAAAAGAAAAAGAAAGACAAAATAACACCAAGTGATAAACAAACAATTTTTCACAACATCCACAAGCGCCCCCCACAAAAAAAAGAAAAGAAAAGAACAATAACAAGTAAAAAATACAACTATCCACAAGTCCCCCCCCCCCAAACAAAAAAGAAGAAGAAGGACAAGAAACAGAAAAAACAAGTAAACAATACACAACTTTTACAACATCAAAAAAAAAAGAAACAAACAATAAAACAAAACAGAAAAAACAAGTAAACAATACACAACTTTTACAACATCCACAAGCCCCCCCAAAAAAAACAAAAAAAAAGAAACAAACAATAAAACAAAACAGAAAAAACAAGTAAACAATACACAACTTTTACAACATCCACAAGCCCCCCCAAAAAAAACAAAAAAAAAGAAACAAACAATAAAACAAAACAGAAAAAACAAGTAAACAATACACAACTTTTACAACATCCACAAGCCCCCCCCCCCCCAAAAAAAAAACAAGGAACAAAGAAAAACAGGCAACTGTGTATGAAGTCCTTGGCGTGGCGCCGTCCCACGTGCCCGTCCAGGGCCGCTTGGCTTGTGGCGCCTCGAAGCGCTCGGGCGTCTCCGCGAAGGGAAGACCTTTGAAGCCCAGGAAGTCCCCATAGTCCGTGCCCACCACGCGGCCCAAGGGCGTCACCACCTCCCGCCTTGAATCCTCAGGAAAAACAACAAAAACCTAAGACAACCACCATCCTCAACACAACAAAAACCAAAAGAAAGAAAACGAAGAACCCAAAGAAACAAAAAAACACAAGACAAGAACTCCCCCTTGGGAAAAAGAGGCGCTTTTTGGTTTCATCTCACCATCCCTAATAAAACAGAGCAGAACAATCTCCACCGAGTTGGGAGCGCTGCCTTTTTGGTTTCATCTCACCAAAGGGTAGGAGGGTACGGCAGCTTTCTGGGCTCGAGGGTCTACAGCTCTAGGCTCCCTCGCCTTCTAGATCCTACATGTTTCCGCCCCTCCCTTTTCCCTCCCCCGACTTCCAACTCTCCTCAGCGGAGCTCAACGGCAGCGCTAGCCAGGCCATCCTTTTGAGACCCTTCATTTTGGAACTTACCCTGAAGGCTTGGGTGTGTCATTCGCGAGTTTACCCTTTTCGAGGTTGTCTTTGCAGGGAATCTCAGTGAAAGCCTTCGATTTTGTTTCCCCTAGTTGGAGACAGACGAGACACTTAGAGTCATACATTGTTTTTCACACGCACACACGCACAAACCTACTCATCTCAGCAAGTGGGTCATTCATCAGCACGCCCGTTTGTCAATCCTGCCCTGGTTCTGCTCCGTCCCGGTCTGAGCATGCAGTGGCAATCTTGAGGCTTGAAGCGATGGCCTTTCAGCTGAGTCAGTCTTGGGCGAAAGCTGGCGAGCGGCGAAACGAAGAAGCAAGCAACCGTTTTCAGGAGTCCCAGTTTCTCTCTCTCTCTCTCTCAAACACATACTCACACACACATACAAAACCAGCTCAGGCAGCAAGTGTCAAGGGCCTAAGAATCCTCAGTCTTGACCTTGCTTTTTCCCGACTAAGTGAGCCTCACTTCAGCTACGGAAGAGAGGTGTGCGTGCAATGGCTCTTTGTGAGACAAAGCCAACACATCGGCGCCGCATCTTTACGGCAGGCCAATAAATGGGGTCTGATTGTTCAATCCTTGAGCAAGCGCTCTGTAATCACAGCAGACATCCGGTGCGTGCAGGGCCGTCGGTCGCGAGCTCCTGTCAGAACACTCAAGCTCGTGCTTCTTCCCTCAAGCTCGCCGAACTGCCAAGTCCTCCACGTCCAGATTTGTCCTGCGCAGCAGTGACGACACGACCACGGCGTGCAAACAGCCACGGTCCAGCTCGAAATCGAGCCTCACACAGCTTGCTGGCCGGCCGGACACGCAAGGGACGGCGACGGTTTTTCGGTTGAGGCTTGGGCAATTGGTTCGACTTCTGCGCGGGCGGGTCGGGATTTTTCAGGTTGCGCACACTCTTGTAGAAGTCCTGCGGGCATCGACGGGGTGTTGCGGGGTGTCGCGGGGTGTCTGGACAAGACGGGTGTCCTCGAAAGGCTTTGCCAGCATCTTCTTGCCGTCCTGGCTGTCTCTCGCCATCTTTCTCTGTGTTTACACAACGCACACACACACACATCAGGCTGGCATTGCATGCCTTGTGGTGGAAGTATTTCAGCCACCACGGAAGAAACTCCGCGAAGTCTGCCTGAGGGGCTTGATGCCACGCGGAAAGCGCGGCGTGCACCTTCTCGCGAAACTTTTCCTTTTGCTCCCCGCCTTGCCGCTCCCAGCGATATCCAGTTGTTTCCAGAAGTACCTTTACAAATTTGCGGCGACCTCTCCATGATTGGACAAACGGCCCAGTTAAGAATGCATATTCTATTCTTTGCTCCCCTTTGAGTCACTGGTAAAATGTAAAATGTATCCTGAGTCTACCCCAGTCTCTCATTCTCTCAGGAATCCCGTTCCAGCCTTGCGCGGTTCACGGGCAGCTCCAAATGCGCCGGCACCTCAGGCCGTTTTTTTGCTCGGAACATTCAAACATTTTGCAACTAGAGCTTGAAATCAGCAGGAGTCCATCTAATTTCAACCAAACACTTGATGGGAATCCATTAATTTCCCCCCAAACACATAACTCAATGGACACCGGTGGACACCCATTTGGGTGTGGCTCAAAACTAAAGAGCTACAGTTTCGCAGGTGTTCTTTGGTTTCACTTACCAAGGTGCCATTTGGATTCCATGTTTCTTTTCCCTACAGCCGTCTTCCCCCTTTGCTCCATCGGAGGTTCGAGCCTGCAGCACCTTGCGCAGCACCTCCGTGAACTCCTGCGGATGGCACGTGGAGGCCCCGCCGAGTTGGCGCCCGGGGCTTTTCCAGAGTCATGGCCATGGGTCAAAATTGTCAAAATCAAAAGCCCGTACCCCAACGGGACCCAATCCAACAACCGAAATAGGTTCTAAAATGGGTGGTGAATTCACCTACCAACCAAAATGGGATCCCAAAACGGTTTTGAGCCACAGCCACATGGAAGCTGCCAGCACCCCTTTGGGGTTCCGGGAAGTCCTATCCCACCAATTATCACGAACCTGACGGAGAGACGTCCTGGAAAACATAATTACACTCCCCACCATCACAAACCGTTCGACCTAGGGGGTCGGTCCTGAAATGTGCCATCTTTCGTTTTCCGAACATCCAGTTCCATTCGTTAAGTGGCGGGAGGGCAACCTGTAGGGTTGCCAACAAACCGCAGTGCGGGAACTGAACGACGTTGATTCTCGGCGCCTCAAAGTCGACGTAACCTGAACGGTCTGTGTCCACGGCATCGAATTGACCTCAACCAGGACAAAGCTATTCCTATAAACAAAACATGGGGGGTAATCAAGATTCAACAGCTATGCAAAAAGGACAAAGCCATCCAACAAAAAACAAAACGCAACATGGGGATTGAGAAACATATTTCGTTCGGCCCCCAAATGACCCGGGGGAACCTTTTTCCATGTATATTGAAACATCAAACAGACTTCTAGTAGTTTTCCAACCAATGCTCATCCCCTATATATATATATATATATTTATAAAGGACCTTTCGGCTAACCCCGACATGGAGAAACGGCCCTAACCGTCACAGATCTGACACGTCTCGCCGAGCCACGCTTGACGTTGTCCACCTCTTCCCAGGGGATGCCGTATTGGCGACTGAGACGTCGCATGGTCCTAGCCAGGTGGAGAAAATCGCAAACACGTGGCTGCGGTTGTCAAACAATTAACGGGGATCCGGATGCATGAACTACACCTGAACATTGCAACTTGTAAATTGTGGTTTCCAACTTTATTTTGGTGTTGAAAAAGCAACATGTTTCAAATAGGCAACATGTATCTGTTAAGGAGCACTGTTAAACCACCAGGATATGGAACGCAGGTTTTGGTCCATGTTTCCATTTACCAGGGCAAGCCATTTTGGGCACCTATTTTTGACCCGCAACTAGGGCAACCCCAAAATGGGGGGCAACCTGGCAAGTGGAAAGATGGACTCTGCGGTCCATCTCCTGGTGGTTTAATGTTGATCCATACCCATGTGTTCCCGGCCTCATTTCCGGTGCAAGCAGAAACTCCTCATTGAAGCCATATGTGGAGTACCTCACAAGACTTGTCTTTGGGGCTCATAGATTCGATTCGGGGCGCACCACTGCAAGAATTCCAGCAAATTGATCTTTCTCCCAGAGCCTAGTTCACAAATGACCCGCCATCCAAACCAGAAGCGAAGAGCAGGTCGAGTCACTGGATGGATGCAGTCTCAGATTTCATCGTGGGAAAGAAGAACCACCGGGACAACCGCCTTTGCGTGGTCTGTTGCTCCCTTCCATAAATATTGTACCTCAAACCCTTCCGATACCTTCATTTGGCTTGATTCTTCATGAAGCTGACAGCCAGTGGGAACCCTGTGAAGGTCACGAGCACGGCATATTCAGTGTCAAACTAGGGCTGACGCTTCCTCCGGGAAAAGTGTTGGAGCACAGATTCTCGCACTCTGCCATCGAGGCGGCCTAGACACCCAATCGGAACGTCCAGGCGGGACATGTACGACTGAACGGACACGCAAGGCCCGTGCCGTGAAGGAGCTATTCATCTCCCGGTGGATTTGAAGCACAGCCTACACCACGATTCTCGCAGATTGCTTCGCCAAATGCAGCAGGAACAACTGCGCCTGGACAAAGGCATCATATGAGAGGTAGCCGCTGCCGTCATCCTTGGTGGCAGTGGAGGCTTCTCTGGTGCTAGCCAGCGCCTCCATCTTCGCTACCTTCCTACGTGGAATCCACCGGAAGCTCCCTTCGTCAACATGTGAGTCATAATCAAAACCCGGTATTAAAATGGTCTACCCAGAACCATGCTTCAAGAATTAAGAAGCAGCTATTTATGGCTGGGACTGTTCCTTACTAACCTTCACTTACCCGGGTTTTGAGCACGTGGCTTATGTGGCTGTCAAAAAATAGGTACCAAAATGGGCTTACCCGGTAAATGAAACCAAGGACTAACACCTGCGGTCCATTGGTGGTTTAAGTAATTGGCCCATACCATGTCAGTTGTCTTCCAGGGGCTTAGTCAGGTTCCATTTTGCGCTTTTCACTTCCCTGCCTGCTTCTCGAAGGCTGCTTTGGCCATGCGCGCGTCGTCGAACTGGGCGCTTAGCTGCAAACGAAAACACGCCCTTGGGCTTAAATAATGCCCAACATACCCAAAACGGCCGTCCAAAACGCTGTTGGGCTCCCTCCTCGCGCTAAAGGCCCATTTGCGTGGTGGTTTCAGATCCAAGATGCAGGCCAAGGTAGTCTGTTCGAAATTAACAAAGGTTGGCAAATAAATGTTGCAGCCCCGGCTTCGCTGTGGGACTTTATGATTGCGCACTTCAAAAAAACACGGGCCAGCCATTTGGGCCCAAAATCCAATTTGCGGTTGCCCTTTTTGGTAAGGGAGAACCCAAGGGACAGCCTTGGGCCATGTTACCGGTTTGGGTGTTGAGCTAACTGAGGTCTCGGCCGACAGGGTGACCATGGCGGCAAGCTGGTGGAGCATCATCACGTTCTGCACTTGCTGGTTCCAAACGGATCAAACCGCTGTCGGAATAGTTAAGGAAGGAATACTCACATTAATATTATCAAAGTTGGACGATTTTGGAAAGATTCCCAAAATCAGCGAGCCTGTCCTTGGATGACTAAAGAGAAACCGTCATGGTGTCCTTTCCGCTCGTTTGAAAACAGACATGGAATCCTCTAGGATTCAGTTTGGGTCGAATCAAGAACACCAACGGAATCCATCCATTCTCTGAAAGGACATTGTCAAAAAATCAGGGCACCGCCCTTTTGGCTCGAACTAACCTGAAAAGGACCACGAAATCACAGCGATCTGTCCTCGGTGGAGTCTGGCGCTGTGGCGCACAGAGTGTCCTGGATGGACCAAATTCCACAGATACCTCCAGGCCTTTCTAGGTGGGTATGGGTCCAAATCTTACCACCAGAACCCGCAGGTTAGAGAAAACTTGTCAACATTTACCAGGGGGCAGCCGATTCAATTTGGGGCTACCCTATTTAAACCACACCCAGGTTGTTTCTCCCAGTCAGAGGGATGGATGAAGCCCTGGCATGAACTACTCTCATCAAGGCCCAGGTGAGCAATTTTCTAAATCCAGCGGCCGAAGAGAAGATCCAAATAATAGCTTCCTGGTCGCTTCAGCGGATTGAGAAATGGGTTTGAAGATTGGCTTCGAGTTGGCGCGTGCAGGAAAGCTGCCAATTTTCTGATCTTCGCAGTCCATCCGCGAAGCTTCCAAAATAAATGATAACCCCTTCCACGAACCGACCCAAGGGCCAAATCATGTTAAAAGCGATATTTCCTCCCGACCTCTTTCAAATCGGGATTTGGTTTTCGAACGCCTTTTGGTGATGTTTGTGGACATGAGCGAGAGGCAAAACCTAAGACTACTTTGGGCGATTTCGAGCAACACGTTATCGTTTTTGGGGCTTCGCTATATCGTTCTGCAATGTTTCAGACACTGGTGTGTTTATGTCAAGGAAGGGTGGAAGGGGGAAAGAGAAAGAATGGAGGAAGAGAGCAGAGGAAGAGAAACTGGGAGGAAGAGAAAGCAGGAGGAGAAAGGACGAAGGGAAGAAGGATGGGAGGAAGGGATAAAGGAATCCAGGGAGTAAGGGAGCAAGGAAGGATGGGGCAATGGAAAAAGGAGGGTGGAAGGGAAGGGAGGAAGCGGAAGGGAAGAGAGGAAGGGAGGAAGAGGAAGGGAGGAAGAGGAAGGGAGGCAGGGCAGAAGAGGAAGGGAGGCAGGGCAGAAGAAGAAGGAAGGGAGCAAGGGAAGAAGGCAGAAGCCAGGAAGGCAGGAAGGCAGGAAGGCAGGAAGGCAGGAAGGCAGGAAGGCAGGAAGGCAGTAAGGCAGGAAGGCAAGAAGGCAGGAAGGGTGTAGATGCTGCGCCTCCCCGCAAGCTCCATGACATGCTTTTTGACGCTGGTTCCAGACCGCCCGCAAGCACCTGGAGGTGGAGCAGGGCCCACACGCTGACCACCACTGATTGATGAGTAAGCGGTGGCCCGCCTTTTGTGCTTTCCGGGTGTCGTTGAGGTATCGTTCAGAGTATCGTTCAGACAGCCCTCCAAAACCAGAAAATTTTGCCCATTCTCTCAGTCCAGGGCATGTGCCAAAACCAGCTACACGTTGCGTGCGTGCGCCTCGCAGCCCGGACTGCTGTCCGGTGACTTGGTAGCTGCAAGCGAGACTTGTAAACAACTTGAAGCACAGCAGCACCATGCAGCACCTTTTACTTGGGCTACGGCTCCACCTCTGAGTCCACAAGCTCTTTTCGAGCACCAGCAACGAATGGGCCACCCCCCCGCGCCATGTGAACGCTGCAATTCCAGGGGTGTGGTTTCGGTGTCGTTTTGGGTATCGTTTTGAGCAAGCAGTGCTTCGGTGGCCAAAAATGTCCCCGAATGATCCGAAAAGGTGTTTTCGACGCCAAAAATACTTTTGGGTATGGTTTGGCATGCCGACTGTGGCGCCTGCGGGCGCAAGCAAGAAGCGTGAGCAGTAGGAAGGAGAGCAAGCAGTACTTCGGTGGCCCAGAATGCAGTTCACACTCTCCGAGTGATCCGAAAAGGTGTTTTCGACGCTCCAAAATTACTTTTGAGTATGTTTGGCGTGCCGACTGTGGCGCCTGCGGGTGCAAGCAAGAAGCATGAGCAGTAGGAAGGAGAGCAATCGGTGGCCCAGAATGCAGTTCACACGTGGCGCCTGCGGGTGCAAGCAAGAAGCATGAGCAGTAGGAAGGAGAGCAATCGGTGGCCCAGAATGCAGTTCACACTCTCCGAGTGATCCGAAAAGGTGTTTTCGGGTATGGTTTGGCATGCCGAAAATGAGCAGTAGGAAGGAGAGCTTTTGGTGGCCCAGAATGCAGTTCACACTTTCCGAGTGATCCGAAAAGGTGTTTTCGACGCTCCAAAATTACTTTTGGGTATGGTTTGGCATGCCGACTGTGGCGCCTGCGGGTGCAAGCAAGAAGCATGAGCAGTAGGAAGGAGAGCAATCGGTGGCCCAGAATGCAGTTCACACTCCCCGAGTGATCCGAAAAGGTGTTTTCGACGCTCCAAAATTACTTTTGGGTATGGTTTGGCATGCCGACTGTGGCGCCTGCGGGTGCAAGCAAGAAGCATGAGCAGTAGGAAGGAGAGCAATCGGTGGCCCAGAATGCAGTTCACACTCCCCGAGTGATCCGAAAAGGTGTTTTCGACGCTCCAAAATTACTTTTGGGTATGGTTTGGCGTGTCGACTGTGGCGCCTGCGGGTGCAAGCAAGAAGCATGAGCAGTAGGAAGGAGAGCAATCGGTGGCCCAGAATGCCGCAGAAATTGCTGCACGCCTTGCTTTTGTGGTTGCCGGAAGGGCCAAACCATACCCACAAGCCAGCCAAACCATACCCACAAGCCACTGAACACTCAAGACGCGCCTATTGGGTGCTTTTGACCAAAGCTACACTCCCCGGCTTGTTGCTCAAAACTGCGTTCCCCGGCTTGCTATTTGGAGGTTGCTGGAAGGGCCAAACCATACCCAAAAGTAATTTCGGAGCGTCGAAAACACCTTTTCGGATCACTCGGAGAGTGTGAACTGCATTCTGGGCCACCGATTGCTCTCCTTCCTACTGCTCATGCTTCTTGCTTGCACCCGCAGGCGCCACAGTCGGCATGCCAAACCATACCCAAAAGTAATTTCGGAGCGTCGAAAACACCGTTTCGGGTCACTCGGAGAGTGTGACTTGCATTCTGGGCCACCGATTGCTCTCCTTCCTACTGCTCATGCTTCTTGCTTGCACCCGCAGGCTCCACAGTCGGCATGCCAAACCATACCCAAAAGTAATTTTGGAGCGTCAAAAACACCTTTTCGGATCACTCGGAGGGTGTGAACTGCATTCTGGGCCACCGATTGCTCTCCTTCCTACTGCTCATGCTTCTTGCTTGCACCGCAGGCGCCACAGTCGGCATGCCAAACCATACCCAAAAGTAATTTAGAGCGTCGAAAACACCTTTTCGGATCACTCGGGGAGTGTGAACTGCATTCTTTGCCACCGATTGCTCTCCTTCCTACTGCTCATGCCGTCGCCACAGTCGGCATGCCAAACCATACCCAAAAGTAATTTCGGAGCGTCGAAAACACCTTTTCGGATCACTCGGAGAGTGTGAACTGCATTCTGGGCCACCGATTGCTCTCCTTCCTACTGCTCATGCTTCTTGCTTGCACCCGCAGGCGCCACAGTCGGCTACCAAACCATACCCAAAAGTAATTTCGGAGCGTCGAAAACACCTTTTCGGATCACTCGGAGAGTGTGAACTGCATTCTGGGCCACCGATTGCTCTCCTTCCTACTGCTCTGCTTCTTGCTTGCACCCGCAGGCGCACAGCCGGCATGCCAAACCATACCCAAAAGTAATTTTGGAGCGTCGAAAACACCTTTTCGGATCACTCGGAGGGTGTGAACTGCATTCTGGGCCACCGACTCCTGCTCTCCTTCCTACTGCTCATGCTTCTTGCTTGCACCGCAGGCGCCACAGTCAGCATGCCAAACCATACCCAAAAGTAATTGTTAGAGCGTCGAAAACACATTTTCGGATCACTCGGGGAGTGTGAACTGCATTCTTTGCCACCGATTGCTCTCCCTTCCTACTGCTCATGCTTCTTGCTTGCACCCGCAGGCGCCACAGTCGGCATGCCAAACCATACCCAAAAGTAATTTTGGAGAGTCGAAAACACCTTTTCGGATCACGGGGAGTGTGAACTGCATTCTGGGCCACCGATTGCTCTCCTTCCTACTGCTCATGCTTCTTGCTTGCACCCGCAGGCGCCACAGTCGGCACGCCAAACCATACCCAAAAGTATTTTGGAGCGTCAAATTTTCGGATCGTTCGGGGGGTGTGAAGTGCATTCTGGGCCACCGATTGCTCTCCTTCCTACTGCTCATGCTTCTTGCTTGCACCCGCAGGCGCCACAGTCATGCAAACATACCCAAACAGTAATTTTGGAGCGTCGAAAACACCTTTTCGCATCAGTCGGGGAGTGTGAACGGCATTCTGGGCTACCGATTGCTCTCCTTCCTACTGTCATGCTTCTTGCTGGCACCAGCAGGCGCACAATTCGGCATGCCAAACCATACCCAAAAGTAATTTTGGGGCGTCGAAAACACCTTTTCGGATCACTCGGAAAAGTGTGAACTGCATTCTGGGCTTGACTGCTCATGCTTCTTGCTTGCACCCGCAGGCGCCACAGTCGGCATGCCAAACCATACCCAAAAGTAATTTCGGAGCGTCGAAAATACCTTTTCGGATCACTCGGGGAGTGTGAACTGCATTCTGGGCCACCGATTGCTCTCCTTCCTACTGCTCATGCTTCTTGCTTGCACCCGCAGGCGCCACAGTCGGCATGCCAAACCATACCCAAAAGTAATTTTGGAGCGTCGAAAACACCTTTTCGGATCACTCGGAGAGTGTGAACTGCATTCTGGGCCACCGATTGCTCTCCTTCCTACTGCTCATGCTTCTTGCCTGCACCGCCAAACCATACCCAAAAGTAATTTTGGAGCGTCGAAAACACCTTTTCGGATCACTCGGAGAGTGTGAACTGCAGCACTCTTGGAGCTCGGGCTCTTCTCCAAAGCCTTCCGGATCACAGATCTGCTCGGGCAAGTGAGGCCTTCCCATCCTCCTGCAGCAGCAGATCTTTGAGGAGCAAGCGCAAGCCCGCCAAGGCGTCCGCGGCCTGGCCCGTTGCGGGCCCTTTGTGTGCGCGGAAGGATGTGCGCTGAAGGAGCTGCGCGTGTGGTTGAAAAAGCAAACGCACTATAGGTAGGCCTCACATTGGCTGCTCCGGGACGTTCTCGGAGTATCGATAGGGTGTCGTTTTGGGTATCGTTCTGGGCGCGTGTGGTGTCGCGAAAAAAACAAACTTGCTATAAGCTAGAGCCAAGCAAGCGCAGAAGAGCCTTCTCTACCTTGCAGTAGTCATGTGATCAGCGGACTAAACTATGCTTTTCTGGCTCCCAAGCATTGGCGGCTTTGCTTGCTGGCTGCAACTTCCAGGTCGCAAGTCGCAACTTTCAGTACCAGCGCAGTACGCAAGTTACACTTTGGCAGCTCCAGCTCGAAGGTCGCAGCGTGCTCCGGTGCCTGCGGGCGCCTGTGCGTGTGCGTGTGCGCGGGTGCGTTAGCGATCCATCTGGGTGGGCCCATCTCGTGCACACATGTGCCCACCATGCATTGCCGAGGAGCATTGACAGGAGCTGTCATGGCAACTTGCAGCTTGGGGCAAAAAAAGGCTCACACAGTGCAAAATAGAAGCGCGAAGCGCCAGTTGCACGTCATGCGACGTTATCGTTTTTGGGGCTTCGCTATATCGTTCCTGAGGAAAAAATACAAAACAAGCAACGCGAAATCGCCGAAGACATATTTTATGACGAGAGAGTTTAGCCTTTTGCTCACATACTAGGGACCCCGTCACTGGAGAAATCAAGGGATCCCGCACTTTCATTTCAAAGGCTTGTTGGTTGAAACGCCAAGCCTCTGCCCGTGAGGAGCATCCTGTGAAGGCCCGGGTCTTGGCATGCTTTGAAAGACAAAGGGACACCTCTGACGCTGTCTCAAGATGAGACCCTCCAAATTGCTCCCCTTGAACGAAGGTCACCCGATTTCCCCTCAAAAAGGTGCAATTGGCTGGTTTAAGCTGCTACTTTTGGAGGTTCTGCAAAGGGAAATTGAGGACACCCCTGTTGAAGCTTCCTTCAAGACCCAAAGGCACCTTTTTCAGCAAGAGTTGGGAGCGGCGAACCTGAAACCCACAAGAAACCGCCCACGTCGTTTGTGTTTTGAGACAACCAAAGCAAAACGGTGCGCGCCTCCTTGGTGTGGCGAAAGCGCTCCAGCAACTTGGTCTGGCGCGGATTGTTCCAAGATGCGGGCCATTGGTTCCCTCAAGCTTCATGGTGAGCTTTTTCCATCGATTGGCCATCCCAACCAGTAGAAAGGTGACTTGGCCATGCGCCAATTGGAGTACGATCCTGACAGCAGTCGCTGCTGAGACCAAGCCAACTCGAAACTAGTTGTTCAAGCGCAGCCAAAAAGAACGGGCAAACCTGCTCCAGTGAACAATTAAGACAGCCCCCGATCGCGAGACCTACCAATCGGAGTCCCACCAGGCAACAAAAGCTGAACATTTCATCCATTGCCTCCCTTTTCTCATAGGATGCCAACCCGGTTCTCCCCAAAACCCAGAGGAAACTTATGATTCTCATAGGATGCCAACCCGGTTCTCCTCAAAACCCAGCAAATACTGATGAGGAAACTTATAATTCTCATAGGATGCCAACCCGGTTCTCCCCAAAATCTAGAGGAAACTTATGATTCTCATAGGATGCCAACCCGGTTCTCCGCAAAACTGAGAGGAAACTTATAATTCTCATAGGATGCCAACCCGGTTCTCCCCAAAATCTAGAGGAAACTTATGATTCTCATAGGATGCCAACCCGGTTCTCCGCAAAACTGAGAGGAAACTTATAATTCTCATAGGATGCCAACCCGGTTCTCCCCAAAATCTAGAGGAAACTTATGATTCTCATAGGATGCCAACCCGGTTCTCCGCAAAACTGAGAGGAAACTTATAATTCTCATAGGATGCCAACCCGGTTCTCCCCAAAAACCAGAGGAAACTTGATTCTCATGCGACTGATAGGACGCCGCCCGGTTCTCCCCAAAACCAAGAGGAAACTTATGATTCTCATGGGATGCCAACCCGGTTCTCCCCAAAACCCAGAGGAAACTTATGATTCTCATAGGATGCCAACCCGGTTCTCCCCAAAATCTAGAGGAAACTTATGATTCTCATAGGATGCCAACCCGGTTCTCCACAAAACCCAGAGGAAACTTATGATTCTGATAGGATGCCAACCCAGTTCTCCCCAAAACCCAGAGGAAACTTATGAATGAAGGAGTATCTCAGCTTGCCTCCATATCCTGGTTCACCTTCTCGGCAGACTGCTGTCTGACCTGCCAGGCCTTGACTTGGCGCTCACCTGGCAGTGCTTTGGACAAATCCATGGACTCCACTGGTGTTTTGATTAGAGCCTAACTGAAACCTGGATGTACCTACTGTGATTGACTCCACATTTCTCGTGTTTTTGGATGCGAATCAAGGCATCCTTGAGACGATTTCTCTGTGGACTCCATGCATCTATGAAGAACTAAGAAACCAAACAAAACACCCTCATGCCTGCGAGACGATTCAGCTCACGCCACTCGGCCACTCTTTCCCACCTTCATCTGATCCGCTGTAGCCTGGCGGTGTTGTCCCTTTAGGGACAAAGCACAAACCACAGACAGCAACCCTATGAAGAGTTTCATAAAAAAGAGTCAAAAGTATCTGGGTGGCTCGTCTGTTTTGGAGGGTACCCCCTTCTTTTGGAAGCCAAACCACAAGCACAAGGACAGTTGACAGCCACTTTGACGGGTCCACCCGAGAACAATGGAAAGAGAGAACTGCGCCGAGGCACGGCGGAACCTGAAGCCTTCCATGGTACGGCTTCCACGTCCTCAGGCGAACGCGCAAACGGGGACTGGAAGGAGCAGGCCATGAGCTCCGGGCCGCGCTTGGACCTCAAGTCGCGAGGCTAAAGCGACCGGCTCTGCCCGATGGTTCTGGGAAAGAATGAAGAAAGCGCTTGAAGGACACCACAAAAAAGGGGACCCCCCCTGAGTTCCGCGCGACATCCTCTTCGGCACCTACATGCGTGAGGGTTTTCCGATACATGCCAAAGTTATGCCCTGTTCTGATACCTCACATCCCGCAAGAGGCCTTTTGTCGATGCACCGGGCAAGTGGGCCCAGGCTTCCGTTAACGGCCCTAGTGGCTGGCGTCAAACAAGGTGGTCAGGCGAGCAAAGAGAAACATCACTTTCTTTCGCTTTCGTTTGGCAACAGTTCTCGCGACCTCCCCTTGCGACAAAGGCATTGGCTGGTACTGAGTTGCTTGCAACTTTCGGGGAGTGATCCCCACTGTATGCAGAAATCACCAGTCTCATTCCATGAGAAGAGCCAGGTGAAAACCCGAATTGTGTATCTACACCTTCCAAAATGAGAAGTGTTAGTTGCAGGACAGTGGTGCAGCAACATGCTGAGTCACAATCTACACCTGGCATCAAGAAGCCCAAAGGAATGCAAGAATCCGAAGAACTGCAAGAGCTTCATGCTAAGGAGCTGAGCTGGTTGAACCGCGATCCAAACATTGGAAAACAAAAACTCGCCTGTTGCTTCAAAAGGTAGGGCTCCAACGGGAAAAACAAAAAAACCGCCATGGGACCACTGCACTCGCCCCGCCAGAGAGGCTCTTGAGAGTCGCATCCGGCTCTCTGGCTTCTTGTCAGAGAGCTCAAATGTCGAAGTGCCGGAAGTTGTAGGACCGGCCTCGAGTTCCGTTTTCGCTGCGCCAAACTTCGACGAGATGTGCTGGCGACCGGCGCTACCGGGGTCTTGGACCCCAAAAACTGGGCGTGCCCTTAAAGGATGGCAGTTGTTCAGCTGGCTTCCCTTTGAAGCCGCTCCTTTTTAGGGGCACCGACTCAAGACAAATACACGCGCCAACCTTTGAGAGCCGCACCCTTCTTCTTGAGCGCTTGCCTCAGCCGGAAGTCGGATGCATATGCAGAATATCGGTCTTCTCTTTGAGTGGCTTTCAAAGGAAAGCCAAGAGGAACCCGTTCGGGACTGAAGCCCACCCAATTCTGTGAAAGATAATGGGTGGCTCTTTCCGCCATGTCGGATTCCAACCTACCCGAGTCGCTGTTGAGTAGCTGACAAATTCCACAGCTCAAAATTCTTCCGAGCGCCACACTCCAAATTCCATTCCACTTCGACTCTTGCGACTCGCAGCTGCAGCCTGGCAAAGCACATCCGACATTGGGATTCGGTTTTTGCCGTGCTGTCCCACTTGTCTTAATGGTTGAAGAGTTGGATACTACAGTTGAACTGTGCAAATCAGCCAAGGGGTTTGCTGCCGGCTCTGGATTCCAAGGCGCATCACAAGAACGGGGCCCCGGCTCTCGAACATGTGCACGCTCTGCCTCAGAGAAGATGCATCGCCAACCAAAGGGTCAGCCCAAAAAATAGTGCACCCCCCAAAATGGCTCGCACAAGAGCACTGCTCAGGAAAACAAATGGACCACTCTTGGAGGGTGCTGGCCACAGGGGGGTTCTTAGGGGAAACCTTGGGAAACCCCCGAACCATTCTAAACTTGCTGGTGCTCAGGGATGAGCAATGGAATGAACCCACAGGTGCCCTTCATTAAAGGAAACCACCAAAGTGGCATGGTTTTCATCTCAGGGTCAGACTCCATTTCTCATTCCCCACATCTCTCGCACCGATCGCAAGATAACGCTGCTGGGCAAGGGAAGGCTTGGAGCGCGGCTGTGAGGTCCGACTCCTGCTGCGCCTCAGCCCCGCGCATTTTTTTTCTCCCCGGATGGAGCCAACGCTTTTGGATTCACGCCTCGTTCACTAGTTTCTTGTACTTTTGTTGGGTGTGAACCGTTGTTGTCCCATTTTTGTTGGGTGTTAACCATGTTTCCTCGTTGTTCGATGCAACCTTCTTTGTACTTTTGGTTGAGTGTTGCCACTAAACATTACGTATACGCCCAAACACCGAGCAAACACCTGAGGCGTTCCCCCTCCCAAAAAGCACCCCACACTTCTGCGACTGGGTGTCCGTGCCACCGTGTGCCGCAGTTGTTCCATTTCGGCAGGGTCGGCTTGCGCTTGCGCTTGCGTCGCCTTGCCGTGGTGCAGTGAGGGGGCCTCTCTTTTTCGGAGTCTTGAAGGGAACCCAAAGGAAATCATCCATGCGGGTTTGCCCCATAACCAATATTGGACGCAAGGGCCTAAATATGTGGCATGCCTGTCATGGTAAAGCTCGCGTGGACCTTTGTCATGGATCCCTTAGCCTAGTAAGGGGTTGCTATCCTTTCCCCTGCAAACTCCAAGCAACAACTTCAGCCTGAATTGAAAAGAGAGCCCTTGGCGGACGTCAGAAAACACACATTCAAACATGTTCTTGAAATAAGCATAAGCATATTCTTTGACTATGGCACGTCCCTTGACTATGGCACGTCCCGGTTTGTCTCCACCAAACAAAATAACAAAAATGAGATTGGGTTCCAAAATGGGCCTTGGCTCGCCTGGGAGTCCTTTAAAGCAACTCCGACAAGGCGACCGAGACTTCATAGTTGTCATCAGTTTCTTTGGCCATCTTGACATGTGGAAGACTCCTCCGATTTCTCCGATTTGTTCAATCCCGTGCCTGTGCGAGCTGCGCTTGCACCGCTTGCAGCTCATGGTAGAGTCGCTCCTCGTTGTCCTTGGACTCCTGAAGGGCGGAGACGCCCAGTGACACTGGCGAAGAAGGAACACGCCCTCTGAGCCGCTGGACCCGGAACAATCCTCGATTGTCTTCCTGGTTCTTAGCAGGGAATGGGAACCCCCCCTATAAACCATCCCCTGTGGTTTCCTTTAAGCGAATCCCGTGGTTCATTCCCAACACCCGCAAGGTACCACCCAAAGGTTTCTCCCCACGACCCTCCAACGCCGAGAGAACCACAGCTCCTCCAGGGCATCGGTGAGCTCCTGGCACAGTTCCAATGGACACTTTCACCGGGGATTTGTCAATTTCCAGCGACTTCTTGGTTTTGGAGGAGGTTTCAACCATGAAACATGAGTTCCAAATGGGCTGTCTCAACATTTGGATTTGAGACCACCCCCAGGTAATTCCCCTTCCATGTCCCTTAAGCCATCCCTTCTCAAACCCAAGCAACCAGGTGTTTTGACCACACAGGTGCGTCACAAGATACGGGCCATGGGACGCCGAAAAAGCGTGTCAAAGGACCGATCCCTTTTGCCCATTGTATAGGGCAACCAACGGGGAACCACTTGGAGCGGTCCCAGAGTTGGATTCTAAATAAGCTCGACCGGTTGATAAAGTCAGAAACAAAAACAATTCCTGGGAATTCATGTTCACCAATTATGTGTGAGGGGGTTCCCTATAAAAGATCCTGGACCTATGAAAACTGCTGCCACTTTAGCTGATGCGCCTAGCTTTTTGCTCTGCCAATGGGAGCTTCACAAGCAAAATGGCTCTCCGATCTTTTACCAATCATACTGTTCGATTGGAGGAAGCAAAAACCCATCCTGGCCAATCATTTCAGCATGGCAGTAGCAAAACATGATGGGTCCACTGGCATGGTGTACAAACGCAAGGGAGCGTCAAACCTATGCTGCTTGCTCTTGTCTCTCACCGGCCTCAGCCACGTTTGCCAACTGGTTGATCTGGTCCTGCCACAGGTCGGGTGTATCAGCACTTTTGGCAACTCGTCCAGCACAATGAAGCCACAAATAAAATCGCCCTTCCAATTCATCGCCCCCTGTGCTTGCCTTGTCGGCTGTCAATCGAGTCAATCAGAACTCAGACTGGCTTCGTTGGGACCGTCTCCTACTAAACTTATAAAGTCACTATCAACACCTGGTCTGAAAATGATCTACTGAAGAATCGAAACGGCGGCTGCACCCATTTATGGTTGGGATTCTCCCTGACCAACCTTCATCTAGGGTTGTGAGTGCGGCTCCCTATGGAACCCTGGTGATGGGGCAACTGCCCTGCACCTGATATGCCGGATGCGTTGGCTGTGCCTTCAGTTGCAACGCCCAACACCCATTGACAAGGCTGTTTATGTGTCATCACCAAACCGGTTTTGAAGATGTGCATATGGTTGTCACCCCGGAGCCTCAAGCTCGGGGTGTTCTGCAGCCAGCACCTGTCGACGCTGATGTAAATGGCCAAGGGGCTACCCTGTATCTTGGTCGGTTCAAAAGAAAACCCCCTCCCCCAATTTTGAGGGGGTGTCAAAATGGTTGCATCAGAAAAACGCGGGGCTTCCACCAACTATCCTTGAGGGGGTCTTTGCAAAAAACTCACAGCCACATGAGCCACGATCAAATTATGCAGCCCCTGCACAGGATATGGGGATATAGACAAATGAGTGAGTTTTCTGGTGGCGCGAAACTTGTCCATGTCCGTCCCAAATGGACCATCTGACTCACATTATAGACGGTAACGGCTGGGCAAAGGGCACTTGTGACCAAGCGTACTTCACCAACTCAACATAACTTGCCGGTGCTTAGTAGGGAATGACCCACGATTTTGGCAATGAACCTGGAAATTCCCTTGAAGGAAACCTTAGGGGATGGTTTATAAGGGTCATTCCCTTGTTCCCTGTTGGGACCGGCAAGATGGGGGATCCCCAATACAAGAAAGCTTCATGGCCCGCCCCAGCGATGCATGGGCTACGTCCCCGGCCTCGTAGTGCATGAGCTTCTCCACCAAAGGATTCTCTGGCGCGTCCGGAGCTCCCACCTGGCAACGCTGCCAAGAAAAAACATCATGCTGTTGTGGGACCTCCGAATGGGTATGTCGTAAACTAAAGCGTGTGGTTGGGGATTTGGGAATACCTTCGCATCAGAAAAGAAACACATAGCCTTTCCCTCACCGCGCACTGTTGCTTGCCATACTCATCAAAGAGGGCTTGGCAGTCAGACAGGACCTACTTCAAAGGGAAGCCAAAGGAACACCTTCAACACTTCTCCAGTGACCTTCTGCTCAACCCTGGCAAATGCCCAGGCCTCCTGCAGACATATGGACACCACCTGCTCCTGATTCTGGATCATCTCCTGGAGCCTG